CCTTTTTTCACACACCCTGTTCTAACTTTTCCAGCTGCAATAATTTTTCTCTTAACCTCAACCGATTCTTCTAATCTTGAAAGCATCCTAACTCTGTGTCCGCCAGCTTGAGTGTCTCTCTCCCTCTAACTCAGTCCATCCCTCCTCCCCTCTCCCCCCTCCCATCAATGCCACTCCAGTTCAACCACAGACCCGGCCTAAGTTTGCTCTGGCTGCGTATTCAAATAGCACACAGAGATTCGTCACAGTTCGCCCGTCTGTTTTTATAGGGAGGAACAGAGAACGACTGAGCGAAAGAGGGAACGGAAAAGGGGGCCTAAGATGAGAAAGCGAAGGGAAAGAGGCAGCGGAAAAGGTACAATAGAACAAAAAGCTTGAAACGATTGATTATGATAACGAGTGTGGTTCTCCGTTCGCGAAACTGAAAAGTTCGGAGTAGTTGGATTGAGGGTTATATGGAAAATGCGCATCAGATTTGGGCGATAACTGGGATTTTTGGCGAGAATCTTTTTATCTGTTCTCTCTCTGTTTTTGGACAAGATCTAGTGGGAGAAAGAGATGCTGAAATGGAGGGGAGAGAGGAGAAAAAAGGGGGGGGGGTGGTTAGGGGAAGGATGTAAGGTCGACAAACCAAGCTCTGCCTAGAGGAGGAAGGAAGGGAGGTCCAGACTCCTGACGAGGAAACAACACATCGCGATCGTGTTAAGCCCTTGCAAAGCCGCCACGTTCCAAATCCGCTGCCTCGGACATCGGACAACGGGGGGAGATGGTGAGTGGTGGGTGACGTTAGGGGCACACACAGACACAGCCAGCACGACCTGACCAGCCAGCAGGCAGTCTGGCGTACGGCCGTGTAAGTGTGTTGGACGAGTTCTTTGGGACCTCAACACCGTCTCCCCACAGGATTGATTTCTATGTTTGGCGTCAAGGTGTGGCTCTCAAGCCGTGTGTTCTAGTATTGACTAAGTGTCTTCCTTTTGGTGCTACAGTTATTGCTAAAATGATGTGTTGACCTTTCTCGTGCTACAGAGAACAGGTGAGAAATCGATGTGATTGAACTTTTGACAATGAAATTTCAGGTCACGATATAAGACCATACCGGGCATTATTTTGAAAGCAAGATAAGACATGATGAGATTAGATATGGGTCACATTGTATCTCCCCTAACCAAAAATATCTTTATTGTATACTCCCATATAAAAAATGTTATATCACATTGTGTTATTATAGTTTATCTCAAAGCATTGTTCTTCTTCGTAAAAGTGGTTGTGGGCGAGATGAATATTAAGATAAGATACTTTATTGATCACATGTGTTAGAAAATAACAGAACGAAATTTTTTTCCAGATGGATAATTAATAATTTTTAAAGTGATTATTACACATTTGTCTTTTTTTTTCAGCTAAAAAAAATATTAAAAAACAAAAACAGGCAAACTAACAACGAAAAAAAGAAAGAAAACCTACCAATAAAGAGATAAGGGTTTCATAACGTATTCAGAAAACACGAGACTGCCATTACGGTATGCCCTGTACGCGGTAATGACTTCTGTCTTTAGAGGTGAGCAAGGGTCTACACTAATCCAGGAGACCGGTGTCTAACGCCTGTACTGAGTGAAACAATCAAATATATTATTTAATAAATCTTTCATACAGATGTAAACCTATCTGTTGTGAATGCAACCAACTGGTGTTTTGTGCGCTCATACAACCGTATGCAGTTGCAAGCGCGAAAGAAGTAAATTAAGAAGATGACCGTTGTCTGTGATGTGACGTTTAGGCTCTTCGCCTATGCACTCAATAAACAAAACAAAACCAAACAAAAGGAGAGTCCAATTCCCGCATGGTGGTGTTTAGTATTGATACGGAGCATACACATTTTCTTGCTTGGATGCTGTAACCCACTCATCTTAAATTGACCATGGCAGACATCGTATAAACAGTCCATCTTCAAAATGACCAACATTGTGTCGGGTTTCTTTTTCATTCTTTTGTTTGGTGGTTTAAAACATTAGTTTAATTGTTTAATTTTATCTTTTAAAAAAATCTAATTTTATTATTATTATTATTTCATTAGTATTATTATTATTATTATTATTATTATTATTTATTT